TATGATCTCTATGTTTGTGTACTCGGATCAAAATTATCCATCTGGTTCGTTGGAATTGGATTAATAACAGTGAAAGTTAGTTCTGGTGAAAGTGACAATGACTTTACTTTTTGAGTCTACTGCTAGTTGCTAGAGCCTCCTCTTTTTGGTGTTATGTATGACAAGTGATTGATATCTATGTCTTTAAAGATATGCAGAGAGTTTTTGAGGAGGAGATTCATCAAGTCATTGTTCAGAATCCGGTGAACCAGTTGCTATAGGTGCTTCTGCTGGAAAATGTAATTCTCTTTAACATTTCTTAACATGTCTTTTTCGGTTTATATGTAACAAAACAATGTGAATTTTCAAAAGCAGTGGACATCACAAGAGTCTTGTTGCTCCAAGACAATGGTAGCAAGTGCGAGTCTAAAAGCACAAGATCTTAGGTTTCTAACTAAAACATATATCTGCTTCTTCCTCCGTTTTACATCTTTGTCTCTCCATTGCTTGTCTCTTAGTCTCCCTAACAATATCGCATCACAGAAAGCTTCTGCCGCCGGCTTTTTACTGTGCACAATATAGACAACTTTAAGAGCTCAGAAATCAAATCAGCCTCTGGCGACTTGTACTCAAGATTTAGTGAGTTTTTTTAGTTTTTACCTCCCACGGACAAATCCTGTTGTTACAAACCCGATTGGCCATCTATGAGTTTGCTCTGTAAGAGTGTCTTCAGGGACATTTAGTTCCCAGCTTCCAGAAGGTTGTTCTTGAAAGTAAGAACTTACAGAAGATTGCGGGATTGTAACACGCCCTTCTTCTCCTTCACCGCAGCTGTAAAACATAATGTACCCGAAATGTGATCCCAAAATGAAATAGTTCCAATGGATCACAATTGTTGAACATGGATTCTTGGAGATGTTACCTGGATTTTAGCAATGATATGTCTGCAAGAGTTGGTGCACATACAACCGCGCCTTCTTCGAAAGAACCTTCCTTGAAAGCATGTAAAAGAACTCTGACGAGGCACAGTTTCTTACTACTCTGATGGATCTGAGCTCTTACTTTTTTATCATCTTCTTCAAGCGTCTTCATAAGATGGTTTGGTTTTGAAGTGTTGTGAGGAAATAAAAGCAAGTTGTCACTTGTGAATGTTTGGAGAAAAGCCGTCAGTGAATCTGATGTTCTTGCCACTATACCATCAAATAGATTACCACCAGAACTGGAAATTTCCACTCCATTCGTCCCATTGCTTGTAAGCTTTTGATTGGAACTCTCTCCAATAGAACGTGTGACGTGGATACTATTCCATGGAGGTGGAATGGGAATTCTGAAAGGTCTTATGGCTGGAGGGCGACGTTGTGCCTTTTCTTCCAAGTCTGCAGCCTCGCTCAGTGTAAAAGATGAATACGCTTTACAGTCCGGGAAATCTGATGGGAAAAAGGGCAAACCATCCTGCCAAAAAGAAAAAAATGACAAGTTTCAGACATTTTTCAAATATACAGTTTAATAAGTTTACATATGTAGCAAGAGAATCTTAACATTCGGAGAATAAAGTTGAAGGGAGCGAAAATATACATCACAAGAAACCCAGCGTTTCTCCCTCTGACCTATTGCATGAGCTCCTTTTGAGACGAATGCATTCCAGAAGACTTTGATCCAACTGAGGGGAAGTATAAGAGACCATCTGAAAGAAAATAACAATGATTTACTTTCGGATCATTAATCTCAATAACGCCACAGAACGATTCAACCAAAGTACATATTACCCGGTAGGTGCATTCCCAAGTTTTTTATGTTTAAGAAGCAGTAAAGGACAAGACCTTGAACTCCTTAGCCTACTAGATACCTTTGGAACATCAGCAGCTGGGTCATCGAGGCAAAGAGAATCCATACGACTTTGATGCTTTTCCCAACACAACATGTTCTCTTCTTCTGGAGGGTTCAGCTCACTATTTGCATCCCACAAGCAGCTGAAAACTTCAGGAAGAGTTTTAGCCTCAGTGTTGGTTGTTGTTTCAAGTGACTCAGTAGGCTCAGTTTTAGTCGTTTCAAATGACATTGTACTATCATCACGTGGACTATTGAGGATTAACCGCGGATCTATGACAAGCTGTGCTAAAATAGCGCCAGATGATACGTTCTCTTCTTTATAAGGATCAGCAACGTTTTTAACCTCAGCTTTTTCCATTGAACACTTTTTAAAAATAGAGGGGTCCTCTGAGCTACTGCAAAGCCAAAAAAAAAAACTGAGATAAATCTTCCTTTGTTCATTTGCAATCATTCTATATATACTGGCTCACCTTGTAGCAGGATGTAGGGTCTTCTGGAGAAGATGAGATGCTTTTGGACCAAAAATCTCAAGTTTTGCAAGCTGACCCTCGAGTGAAAAGCAATCAACTGAGACACCTGTCTCATTCATCTGAATGAAAGAGCTGTAGGTGTCATTATCTCCACAAGAATATGTAAAGCATGATGCTAACAACAAATGACCGCTAGTGCGCCTAAAAATAACCTCAAGAAACAACAAATAACTACCTGTTTCTGACAAGCTACTTTAAGAATAGCATATCCTTCAGTGAAGGAAGAAGCATGGATCCACACCCAAAGTTTTCGAAAGTCTACATAATCTCTATCTGAGACTGGGCGATCAGTTCCTATGCCGTCCCCTCCTTTCTCCTCATCTCTTCTCTTTGGTATCTGAGAAGGTCTCCACATATAAGTTACGGGAGCAATCGCCTGAGAAACTGGTGGTTCAACATGATAAAGCTGGAGAAAACAAAAAACTTATGGTTACATCATGCTTTAAGTTGTCGTCTCGTTTCCTGTTTAAAAAAGGGAAATTCATATATTCACTATACCATGGCGTTTTCATAACTACGGCCTGTGAGAATAGAGTCGAAAACTTCCTTGGAATAAGATGAAGGAGAAGGCTCTAGGAGCATATTTAATATCGACAAGAGTGAGCCCTGAGAAATTCAAAGCCAAAAGACACATCAAGAAAATATTAAAGCACAAACCAAGTTGAACAAAATTTAAAGAAGAATATCAAGAATAAAGAAAATGCCTGCCTCTGGACCCTCCAATTGCACAGCAATGTGATAGCTTGCATCATGAACAAGAACACCTTGCCTAGATTGCTTCAAGACATCCCTAGATCCCCTTCCTCTAGAACCATGACAAAAACAACCTTAAGATTTCAAAAGGCTCTAACTTTTTTGTAACTTATCACTGAAAATTTGAAATTTACCTTCCATGTAAACCAAGAGGAAGGTGAAACCCCCAAAGCTTAGTCATAGTGAATCGTTTAGCATGCCAAACATGTGTTCTCAGCCTCTTTGTCCCATCACCAGAAGTACAAAAACCAGATTCAGGGTTCCCTTTAAGTTCCATTCTTCTCTTAACTCGTCTAGTGATCTTTACTTCATGGTCTCCTCCTCCTGATACTTGACCAATCAATGACTCTGATTTTTGCCTCTTTATATAACGCTTCTTTGCAGGTTGATTATTGTAAGAATTGGTCCTTCTCCTCTTATTCCTCTTTGATCGAAAGTCCTTGTTCAAACGTTCAGACACAATGGAGTGAAGAGATTCGAGCTCCGCTGCTCGAGCCTCTGAGAATTTCTGGACATTGATTTTGCGAGGGGCAAGCGACGATAAACCGCCATCTCTTTTCTTAGAGTTTCCATTCGAAGTAGTAGCCATTCTTGATATCTCGGAGTAGTTTGAATAAAACCCTAGTGTTGAGAATCCCCAAAATCCAAACTTTTGGGATTGTCGGAAGAACTGAAATTGGTTCAGGCAATTTGACGAACAGTTGGCGGGCAAGAATAGGAACTGCGGCAGTGATAAATAAGACAAAGGCAGACACTGGCACACGGACACGGCTTAGAGGATCAGTCTGAGGAAAAACTAGGAGATAAAGAGAGGGAAACAGATTTGGTCGGAATTTTCCGAAGATTTATAAATCTGAGAATTAAGGTCTTTTTCGATTCATATACACAGTTTTTTTTTTACAATACTTTGAGAAGAACGAAAGGGGCCTATATTTTATTTTACAAATATAATGGGATTAATGGGCCTCATAGCCCAATATATTAAATAAATCTACTTGTAATCATTTGTTAGCATTAGAAACAGGTAAACAGAACAGAAATCTATATGATTTACTTCGTAAACTATCTTGTTGTTTGATCCAAAATTAAACAGTCTTTGTCTTACTATTCTAAATACACTGTCTGATATTTTGCTTTAATGTTTAGGACCAAAACGCAAATCAAAAATATGTAGACATCTAGTTTTCTTTCATAAACTCCATGATTAACATAAGAATCAAGATCATGTGATATGCTTTTAGCCAACTTTGTCAAATTGAACAATTCAATAATGTTGTTCACATAAATTTTAATTTGATCACATCAATTAGAAAGTTTAGATCATCAAGAGATCTCTATGGTCTGTAACAATATCTTAAGTAACCTACATAAGATTTGCTCTGCTTTCTCGACAAACAAAGATCGTAGAACACGATTATGCGAAAGAAACTCTCTTTTCGTCTTTACCACTTTCGTAAGAAAATGCTAAGCAAAAACAAGAAAACAGTCTTTGATCTCTAGAAATTAATACACGACATAAATGGATAATATGGATTAACGGCAAGTCGTTTGCATCAATCAAATCCAATAATGAGTGCTTAAAAAATCTTAAGCTGAAGTCTTAAAACATAATTAAGCAAGACAATGAAGAAATAAGTGATTGAAAACTTTTATAGGCATAAACAAATAGAGTGATAACTTAATTGTTTTGACATTGAATGGGCTCTTTAATCGATTTAATACCAAACATAGTAATACCAAATTTGGAAATAGAAAACGAGAGAATCAACGCAAGGGAATGATTCCAAAAGTAGAAATGTAGATCTTGTTTACGATTCGCAAATTAAAACAACATCGAAATCAAATTAAACAGAGATCGTACAGAGATTTGATTCCTCGAAGACAAGACAGATCTAGTAAAAATCGAAAAGACAGATTACGAGTTTGTGCGTGAATCTAATCCAACAGCAAAATTGGGATTTGTTAAAAAAAATCTCAAACATAAGCCTGTTGAATTAGATTCACGAACAAAACATGTAATACGACTCTTCTAATGGTAATCGTCATATCTTCTTTTTCTGAGAGAGACTTGTTTCGCCGGCGTATAAGAAGAAGTCAGCGAGAGAGAGAGAGAGAGAGAGCGAGAGACCTAAATAATCTGTATCGTCAATAGTTTAACCAAGTGTCAGTTTATGGATCACAGCATAAACTTTAAAGGGCCTAGTTCAAGCTCATTCTTATTAATGGGCTTAGACCCAACTATTATTTCTTCCTCTAGCCCAATAAGTATTAAATTATGGGACAAATCAAAAATAGTTTAAATACAGTGCTGTTAATTAAATTAAACTATCATATCTATAATCTATTATCACCGTAAATATTATTGCTGAATAAAAAACCTTTGTAAACATTAGTTGATGTTTTGGTACTTGGTCCATATTTTTTTCTAAATTTACGATATATTTTTGTATCATTTCATGGATCGTAATTTCAAAACTATTTCTTGGAATACATAACATTCAACTTTTATTCTGCTGATATGATCTTCTTTTATTGTTTTAGTGTCTTTATCATGCATATATATACCATTTTCTGGTTAAAACAACTATTATGGTTTAACAAATGAAAATTCGTAACAATTATACAGAAAAATAATTACTCCATCATACTTTCCGCAAAATTTAATAATTTTCTGGTTTAAAAAAAAAAAATTCTGAATTGGGATATATATTTGTTGGGTGGCCTAGACGAATAGGGAGGATATAAGAACATGTGCATGCACGTTAAGCTAATATACATACAACGTGCTAACAAGCGATCAATTTCGACCACTAAACTCTCCATTATGGCTACTTATTATATATATAAACCTATCTTAATTAGTTAGGTACTTTTCACGTTACCTTGAAATCCATATAATATACACATACATTGATCAATCATATGCGAATGTTAAGCTAATTCTCCTTTAATCAATGTATATAATTATCAATTATCAGAGACGTATATATATGTCTAGAGAATTTGTAAATACAATGTTTCGTGTTGACGGCGATGGGAGATACATTGAATCTATTGTCTCCGAGGATGTCTGATCAACAACGCTCCACGAATCTGCTTTTCTTAAAAATAAACACATGACGAGCAAAGAACATATATAATCTTTTAAGATGCTTCAATCAAATCCACTCACAAAAATAAAAATCCTAAATACGAAGTCCACAAATTCAAAGGAACATAGAAGATCATTGCATGTTCTTGTGTCTTTTAAAATTAAGACCTTATCCCATTATCCAACATCGTTATCTACTTTGTCCAAAAAAAATAAAACACTTAAAAACTACTCGGGAATGCTTTATATCATTAGTTTATCGTTAACTCTTATAATTAGTTGCGCCGGCTTATATCAGCTGGAAATAATGAGATATGTAAGGACTTAATCAAAGCAAAAGCATTATGACAACCAAATAGTCATATTTTATCATCTCTGTCGACAATGGTGATCAACTCAAACTAAATACATTATATTGTAGCGAAACTCAAACACTAATATTGCATATTTATAAATTAGTTTATGGATTAGACCAAATTTTGGGAGAAACATAAAATAAGATGAATTTTGATAGTTATTCTGACTTTTGCAAACGCGGTTTTTAAAAGCCTATAATATGAATCTTTTCTTTTTCATCTCATCAACCTATATATCTATTTCAATCGCTAGCTTCTTAATACACTGATTGCATGCTTCTTAATATCTTTTTTCTAGCTCTTTAGTAAGTTTCAATCCGCCCGACTTTTGTAAACTCAGAAAATATTGGCCGCGAAAGTAAAATAAAATAAAAAATAAATCGATAAAGCGCAACAAAGGAGGAATAAGACAGGGTGTTTAAGGTGATGTGAATGGGAAGAAAGTTGGTGTTTTTGAGCGTGTAGGAGAGTTGGGTAGTGATGATAATCATGTGAGTGCATGTGCATCGAGTTGTATTTTGATGACATGTCCTCTAACTTAAGCTAAACCCTAATTATCCATCAAAAACAACATTAAAAACACCCTTGTGGACACTTGTCCAATTCTCATCCAATTCTTTTGAGAGAGAAAAGGAGAACCTTCTCAGAAGCTGTAATCTCCATTTTAAGCTATATATAAAGGTCACTAACCTCTCTGTATGTCTATATAAACTATAAGGGCGTCTCATATATGCATGCATCACAATATATCATCTTTTAAAGAGTTGTTATCACTTGTCTATACAACATTCTTTCACTTACAATAATATGGGAGTAACAACATTAGAAGGACAAAGAAAGGAATCAATTTGGGTTTTGATGAGAAGACAAAGGGCTCGAAGGGCACTTGTGAAGAAGATCATGATCCGACCGAGGAAGAGTCTAGAAGCTTCTAGAAGACCTTGTCGCGCAATACACAGACGAGTCAAGACGCTGAAAGAGCTTGTTCCCAACACCAAAACATCAGAAGGTTTGGATGGTCTCTTCAGACAAACGGCGGATTATATTTTGGCTTTGGAAATGAAAGTGAGAGTTATGCAGACAATGGTTCAGGTTTTGACCGAAACTAACTGTGTTTAAAAACCTTCATATATTTTTTGTAAATCTTGTTGGATTTTACGTGTTTTTAGTTTTTATTTGTTCGTGTTTATTTTTTATTATCTCGTGTGGTTGTCTTGTGATAGCAAAGGAATATGATTTATCTTGCTTATGTAGACTTCGTCGCAAGAAAAATATCAATATATGCTTATCTAAATAACAGATGACTGTTGTTTCGGGAAAAAAAAAACATCTGAACATACCAATTCATTATACATAGATAATTGTTCCATGGGAATAGTTTTTGTGTGCTACATTAACAAAGAACAAAGGGTCATTTCTTAAAAAGGTTTTAAATGAACAATAAGGAACTATGTTGTAAACATGATATCAATAAAATTAAGTTCAGTCAGTTGGAGAAAATACAAATGTGGGAAGGTAATTAATAAGTGTTTTTAGTTTTTACCAATAAAGGGACAAAACACTGTGTTGAAAAAAGAATGTTTAACATTGGGCTGTGAAAGTGCGTGGGCCACGAATTCAAATACCGAATTTGAGTCCATATAATGGAACCATCCAAATTCGAAGTTCAGGCTAATATTCGAACTTGTGAAAGATTCAATATTTCTATTCATTTAAAAGTTCATAATTGCAAACTATGATTGTGAAATCAAATTTTAGTCTTGTAATCTCAAAATTAATCCTTAAACTATTATCACAGAATGAGTTAGCTATATTTTTATTATTTCATTCGTGCTTTCCATATTATTTGTTGTTGACATGTTGTCACCAAAATGAAAAACCACAATTGGAATATTTAGGGTGTTACAAATAAACTAAAATTTGCGATCACAAAAAAGAAGAAGCAATTTAACAAAAAAAATGACCGATTGATTGTCGATTATAGTTCTAGGCATCAGTAGTGAATATGAATAAAATACATCGAGAAGACTACTAGCTTCATAGTAGTATATATTATAAGATTTTTTTTTTTTGGTTACAAATATCATTATAAGTTTATAACGATGTCATTTTAATTTTCATTGCAATTTTTTGTTTTACTTTTCATTGTAATTCTTTCAAAATAATTGGTAAAACTGTGTTATGTAGTGCTTTTAAATCATGCGGTTGGACTACTGTCTCTTTGTGATAATGATAGGCAACACTATAACAGAGACAAATGTTTGATGGCCACGTACGTATCACTTAGTCCTTTTATTTATTTGAGATGACATGAATTGGTTGAGATGAACTGGTCCGACATTTTATTATCTCGACGTTACGTTGATTTGGGGTTCAACAATACTATTGACATGGCACTACACGTTTATTTATTATTCTTCAACGTAACACCGTGTAGAGACGACAAGTAAAGTCTAGATTTGGGCTGGTAAACGGGCTCATTTGATTACTCAAAGAATTATGTTTTCTTATAAATAGTTTTCGATTCCTCGAAAACATTTATGTGATGTTGTGTTTGCTTATCTAATCTATCAAGTATAGTTTTTTTTTTTTAATGAATAATTTATCGACTATAGTTCACTATAAAATGTTGTTACATGTACACTAACTCATGGTTTACGTATTGTGGTTATTTTTTATTTATTTTTTCTAAGTTCTCTTCACTAGTACATTCGTAGTTTTGATTGGTAAAGTGAGAAAGAGTAAAAGAGGACACATATGGATGAATTGGTTAAGTGATATGTTTCGTGGTCAAGGCCAGAGCTAAGTGCAGATTCTACCAACATTTAAATCAGAATAAATCTATTAAGATTTCTCTTGCGACTTCGTTTCACTTCTATGTAAAATATGATCCAAATTTTAGTTTAGCTATTGTCTATTTCTTACCTCCGGAATATTAGCGAGGTAGGAATCGATTTAGGAGGATAAGTGCTACCACACATTAACTAGTCTTGCCTCTTTTAAATTCGAATTTGTTGAACTTTTATATATAAGAAAAAAAAAATCAAACTAAACTGGATCGTTGTCCAATATGTGTGTGGAGATAGAAGACAAAAAAATTATGTGGAGAGATATTAGTAAATGCCAAATGGTATTAATGACTATAAGTTAATGACTAGCTACCGTCAGACAGGATTTATATTAATCGGCATTATGTTTGATGCGGCGATTAATAAATAAAATAAGATCCCAAAATGCGTTTACTTTGACTTACCCATGTGCAAATACCAACGCAACGGTTATTATTTAACGATTTTGTTTTTAACTCTTCCACAACAAACATTTTAGTATTGCCAAAGAAATCTTAAGTGGGTCAACACATGCGATACGAGTTGCGTTTGAGTGTTTTTTTCAATTAAAATAACGATAAAGGCATTTAATTAGGGATTTGATTGCTACTTGTGAATTCACGAGACATAAGTATCCAAGAAAGAAGCAACGTGAATATTTATCCCTTGATTCATGCCTTGGCAACTCCTCTAGAAGGTTTTCTCTTGTTAGGGAACACATTTGGATATATAGATAATTAGATATACAT